TCGAAAGCAGCGGCGGAAGTGAATAGAAGGGATCGTATTCTTCAATGGAGAACAGGAGGAGGTAAAAGACCGAAAAAGAGGAGCATCACCCCATATTCGTTCTTCCACGGTAGGCTGCGTCCCTTCGGAGATGGATAAAAATTGTAAATTGCTGATTTATCCGCTTTATTCGCTCGAGCACGGATGATCGATTACTCAATTACACTCGGATCCCTTTGTACGGATGATGGGATATAACGGAATACACGTATTTCGTATCGATAAAAGAAATCCTCAAGATTCGGGTTGCCACGCGATGCTAATTTCTTGATTCCAGACAAGATTCAAGACATCTCGATCTTTATACTCCGATCGCAAACAGAAAATAAATCTCCCGCATTGCCGAATAGATTCTGTCGTAGAAATGGAAAATTATGCCAACGAGAGTTTTCCTTTCAGTCGATTATCGATGTATGAAAAAAATGTCGACGGAAGATGTTAAGTTCCTTTCTTGCCAAGAAAAGATATGCTCGTGAACTGTTGATTCGCTGATACATTAATGAATCTGTTCAGATTATTTCAATGCAGGAACATAAATGTTTTGTACTAATCCTTTTTATGAAGATTTATATGTTGATTTCTATGTAAAATAAAATTTTTTTACACATTAATTGCAATACATTTATGTTTATTTTGTTTCTTAATTATTTGAATAAATTGAAAATAATCCAACAGTATTATTAAATTCTTCCAATGTTTTTACTGTTTTATATTTGATTTTAATCATTGTGGTCATAAATTATTAAAATCCGTAGCTACTGCCGTCTTGTTATTAAATTATACACTTGCAGAAACTATAAAGGTAGAGCGTACATATATAGGCTATTGTCATGGATCTGTTCTGTTCCCATAACAATAAATTACAATTGTAAATAATATGATTATAAATAATATTATATAATAATATTATTAATACCTGTCTCTTATACACATCTAGATGTGTATAAGAGACAGATATATATGTATTATTATATATATATATATATTAATATGATTATTATTATTAATATGATATATGATTACACGAAGGTATTATTACACCTGTCTCTTATACACATCTAGATGTGTATAAGAGACAGATATATATGTATTATTATATATATATATATATTAATATGATTATTATTATTAATATGATATATGATTACACGAAGGTATTATTACACCTGTCTCTTATACACATCTAGATGTGTATAAGAGACAGATATATATGTATTATTATATATATATATATATTAATATGATTATTATTATTAATATGATATATGATTACACGAAGGTATTATTACACCTGTCTCTTATACACATCTAGATGTGTATAAGAGACAGATATATATGTATTATTATATATATATATATATTAATATGATTATTATTATTAATATGATATATGATTACACGAAGGTATTATTACACCTGTCTCTTATACACATCTAGATGTGTATAAGAGACAGATATATATGTATTATTATATATATATATATATTAATATGATTATTATTATTAATATGATATATGATTACACGAAGGTATTATTACACCTGTCTCTTATACACATCTAGATGTGTATAAGAGACAGATATATATGTATTATTATATATATATATATATTAATATGATTATTATTATTAATATGATATATGATTACACGAAGGTATTATTACACCTGTCTCTTATACACATCTAGATGTGTATAAGAGACAGATATATATGTATTATTATATATATATATATATTAATATGATTATTATTATTAATATGATATATGATTACACGAAGGTATTATTACACCTGTCTCTTATACACATCTAGATGTGTATAAGAGACAGATATATATGTATTATTATATATATATATATATTAATATGATTATTATTATTAATATGATATATGATTACACGAAGGTATTATTACACCTGTCTCTTATACACATCTAGATGTGTATAAGAGACAGATATATATGTATTATTATATATATATATATATTAATATGATTATTATTATTAATATGATATATGATTACACGAAGGTATTATTACACCTGTCTCTTATACACATCTAGATGTGTATAAGAGACAGATATATATGTATTATTATATATATATATATATTAATATGATTATTATTATTAATATGATATATGATTACACGAAGGTATTATTACACTAATTTCTGTATACAACTCAATATATAGTTATAGCCAAGAAACGCCAACTGAAAGAAGTACGAAAAGATCTGTCTTATTCTTTTCTCAAGAGTTCTATAACACAAAAGTGATAAAATAACTCTAAATATAAAATTCATATTTTTGATATCTAAAGGAAATGCAATGTATTTATTACGCAAAATAGAACTATAAAATAATAGTTGCGAGAACTTCGCGGTTCATCATAAAAAAGCATAAAATCCGCGGTCTAATCGTAACTGTTCCAGTCAGAACCGACGCACATATAACAGTGATCAATGTACCACGCTTCTCCCTCGAAAGAGATCAATCTTCAAAAAATTGACAAAAATTCAGATAGCATCCCTGCCAATCCCATAAAACAGTCCGAATGATAATTGATCACGCGGCATCCTCGTCGTCGTAGAACCGTAAACATGGGCCAAGCAGCAAAAGTTCAAGATCAGCCCTTTATCCGATCGCTGTTTACACGATGCGGCAAACACCGTACATTCTCCCACGAAAGAAAGCCGGCGACCGCCCCATCATCCCCGGGAGCGAGGGGTAGGTCGAAACTGGTTGTCGTGATGGAAGGAAAATCCGTACAAAAGAGCCGGCAAGAAAAAAAGGACGAGAGAGAGAGAAGGTTTTGCACGCGCTCGTGGACAGTGTGCGCCAGCTTGGAGGTTGCATGTTGTAGGTTGGCGGGCTTGGAATAGCTGAATAAAGGCGCCGAAGGGCTGGAAAGGGTCGAGAGAGAAAGTTGTTGGTAGAAAGCGGCCCCCCCACGACCGCAAATTCGATAAAGTTTCGAGCTTGTCTCCCTCTCCGCCTCTCTCCCTTGCTACGTCTCTCTTGCTCCCGCTTTTACTTGCTCGGTTTGCACGCGGACTGGTCGCGGCGCGACGATACGGAGGGAAGCAGAAACGTCTCGCGGCCTCCACTTCCGGTACTGTCTCGCGTACTGTATCTTCCTAAGCGAACGCACCGCGAAGATCTTAATATACCGTTCACGAAGGATCGAATTGGACTGTATGGGTTAAAATACAAAAACTGAAGCTGTTTGGATGTAATGTGTTTTAGATAGTTTATCTTAGCCGGGCCATAAATCCGATGAAGGACCGGCCGCATTGACGAACAGAGTGTCAAGTGACCTTGTTCTAAATTCTAGACATTGTGCAGAACAGTCCTTTCCCATGCATCCTTGCAGGGCTATAGTTTTTATAACAGTTTTCAGAAAAAGAATCTTCCGGCAGAAGAATCTTCCGAAGAATCTTCCTGTAAGAAGGACAAGTGGTACGCGGAGGAATCGAGTTCACAGGTAGAGCAGAGCGAACCTCGAGGAAGAGAATGAACGGCTAAGGGCAAATCCGATTTCCTGATATGTAATGAGAGTTTCTCGTCCGCCTTCGACCCTGTTTCGCGCACTGTTTCACCAGCCTCGAGCCTGTTAACGCGCGGTTTCGGAGGCGCGCGCGCGCGACATCTTGGGAAGGAGCGTCGAGTGTCAAGCTTTTTAAACGAAATTCCCCGGTAATCCTTCCGACCGCTTCGGGTATCGCGGAAATACTTCTCGCGCAAGTTTATTTAATATAGCAAGTTCTTGAAACTTTTGTGATTTAAGCAGCTCGCTGCAGGCCTCCGGCAGTGAAATACCGCGGCGAATCACGCCGGATATTAGCGTGTAAGAGGATTAACTCAATTACGGTCTATTAACTCTTTTCAAGAAATATTCGGCGTGACAGATGGCGGAAGTTTACGGTCGGCACGATGGAAGATGGCATCGAAAATGTGCCATTTTGTTTAATTAGTAGGATGAGACTGTTCGAATCGGTGATCGGAAGAGTTAGGGAACTTCTGAGATTAACCCTTTTGAGTTGAACAACTTTCTGTTTAACCGTAATGCCAATAGCCGGATATCCTTTTGCACACATTCTCTTCAAAATATTTGTCTTCTCTCAGTAAAATACTGAGACAGAAACAAAAAAGTGCCGATGTGAAAATGTCAAAGAAGATATAAAATGATAGGCCGTTGGAGTATAATTGGAATATAAATAAAATTTAATTAAAAGTTGTATCAATTTATGCTCTACGAAATGAAAATTGTTAACTTTGAAAGTACCAGAATTATGTCAGCAGTTATGTCCCCTCTGAGAGGACATCCGATTGCAAGGGGTTAGAATCGAGCACGAACTTTTGCACGAATCCAACAGTTGATGTCCGCTACCCTTACCTTCCTCCCTCTCTCTCTCTCTCTCACTCTCACTGTCTCTCTCTTTCACTCTCACTCTCTCTTTCACTCCCTCTCTCTCTTTCTCTCTCTCTCTCTCTTTCACTGTCTCTCTCACTCTCACTCTCTCTCCCTCTCTTACTCTCACTCTCTCTCTCTTTCTCTCTCTCTCTCTCTCTCTCACGAGGATATAACCCTCCTATTTCAGTTCTAAAGACCTATTAGGCATCCGCCGGCAAGTAAAGCGTTAATATCCCGGGTGCCGACTGTCCTCGTTCGATCGTGCCAGAAAAACGGAAACAGCGTACACGTCAACTGTACATAATCCGCGTGTAATCCCGCGGCGCGCTCGATCGAATATAAAATTCAGTGGATCGAAGCGCGGATATTGCATCGCGCTTAAGGTAAAGCCGGTTAAACATTTACGGGCTCCGACGCGGCGCCCGGCTGGGCTGCTGTTCGGTAGTTTCGGCGCGGCTAGGTCCGGAAGCGACGGTGGGGGAGGGATAGCGGATACTTAATGCAATATCTTGGTGGAACTTCGCATAAAATCATTTTGCACCATACCTGGCTCAGATGCGTCACATGGCTGGAGGCGTAGTAACTCGCTCTGGAACCGCAGGGTCTCGCATAGAGCGGCTCCAGGTCCGCAATGGTCGCGTAACTTCCGGAATTCGCGCTTCCGGGTCGTGGGTCGACCCTAACCAGAACAGAACTTCTGGCCAGGCCGCCGGTGTCTGCCGCTGAATAGCTGCAGCAGGGCAGTGTTTTCCTAAAATGGCAGACGACTCTGTACCCATGTAATCATTATACACGGAGTTAATTATTTCTGTAATGCACTACACGCTCCGCGCTCCCGCCCACATACACCACCCGTAAATAATCATCCAGCCGTGTACAAGCTGACATCGACACACCTCTGGCTTTTCTCGTGGCTCGCCTTATTGTTCGGTTCTACCACTAGTTTGGCAACTTGTAGCTCCGGCTGGATCGATTACGCCTCGTTGTCACCTCGAATTACGAACACGCGGGGCCGGGTTTCGGAAATTATGTATCTACAGCGCGGGTCCGTATGTTGGTTTCTTTTTAATGTTGCTACGAAATACACCGTTTAACCCTCGGCAGACCGACCCTGGCTCACGCTTAATCTGAAAAGTACGTAAACAATGTTATGCTCATTGTATACAGTTCCTATCAGTATTCAACATGCAGGCGAACAGTGAAGTGCTGTGTATATATATAAAATATATAAAATTATATATATATAAAATTCTATTCCATTTCTTTGTAAAATTTCGCTTGAAATAATATACTATTATCTGTCCACCGGAAAGTTCTGTCCGATAGTGTCACTTCAAGTTTCAATCCATATGCGCATGTTGATTTGAAACATATATGATTATCTCTCTTTATCATTACATTTACACGCATGTACTCTCCTAAATAAACTGAAACAAAGATGTCTCATGTCATTATTAAGCGAGACGGGATCGTGAAAACATGGCTACCGATGATAATGCCAGACCACGTGCTGCTTTGGCGACTCGTCAGAAAATCGCAGAGCTAGGCTGGCAAATTCTGTCGCATCCACCATGCTCCCCAGACCTAGCACCCTCCGATTATCACTTGTTTCTCTCTTTGCAAAACTTCTTACAGGAAAAAAGTTCAAAACTGAAGCTGATGTCAACCAAGCACTAGTTGAGTTCTTCGCCTCTAAAAATAAATCATTTTCTAAAAATGGCATTTACAAGTTGCAATCACGCTGGAAAGAAGTCATAAGTAACGATCGAAAGTATATTCTACAATAAATATTATTAAATGTATGAAAATTGTGTTATATTTCAATTCAAAAACGGACAGAACTTTCCGGTAGAGCTAATATATTACGATGTCAGAGAAGACGATTTTTTAAGCGAGGACAACGATGTCTTTACATGATTAAAAGACCCTGGAAATAGTGATAATTTATTTGTAAAATTCACACCAACAATACTCTATGCATTATGTGAATAAATTGTGAAGATGACGAATAAAAAAGGTAATTTTCCTGTATTCTGCATTCATTGTATTGTCTTGCTTATGTTTTAGATGTATAATAATACATAATTGTAACAGGAGAACTGCTTTTAAAGTATATATTGGTATGGGTCCAAAAATACACAGGGTCGACCGCACGCCGCATGACGGAAAGTCGGACGACCGAGGGTTAATATTTTTCAAAGTATAATGCTTCCTTACGAAGAGTAAACGTACCGATTGGTTATGAAAGATAATTGTAACTTTGCAACATGCCACACCAGCCGTCATGCAATCGACCTTTTGCACACTAAGTGCGGTAATCGTGCGATCAGCTGTTTCGGAAATGTACCGTGGTCGCCACGCAACTACGATTTGACGCCGTTGGACTTCATTGTGAGGAACTCTAAACTATTTGTATTTTCATTGTAGTTTTTGTATTTTACTTATGAATTTTATTTTATACAATTTTATCAAATAATTTTTTATTATAAGATATATATAAGTTTGAATATTCTTATAATGTTATTTATAAACGTATTATAATTCATAAATCAATTTAATATTCTTATAAATTTATTTGTAAATTTTATATTTTTATATAATTCTATTTAAATTGAGTCGGATAGGCTAATGATAAGCCAGTGGCGACAGTCGTTTGAAAAACATTATTCTTCATAATTAATCGGTAGGTTTACTCTTATTAATAAAGCAATAGACTTTGAATAAATAATAAAATATTCTTTTATTTGTCACATAAAAATAAATGTTTACATGGCTGTAATTCAAGGACCAACTTACTGTTTCAAAACGGAGCTCGGAAAACTAATTTTATCAGTATGCAATGGAAGATATTAGCTTCAACAATGAAATTTCAGTGTTTCTGAAGGCTTCCTCGTATTTCAAATATTTAATAATAACGATACAAATGTTCGCGTAAAAATTATTTCCCGTAAAAATGTTTGTGTTTTTTACTACTGTTTTTTATCTGCCACCATCCTCGTTGAAGGGGTGAAGGTAGCTTGGGAATTCGGAGGGCAAAATATATTTGATTGAATATTTCGACGAGCACTAGAACCACAAATTGATACCGGTATCAAAATTCTGCATTGCTACTATAATATATAGCTAGCGCCAGAATTATTTGAAATTCTCAAAAATTGTATTGGATTACATACATATTGAAAATGTTTCAAAACTAGTATCTGTTTTAATATTCCTGTTAAAGCTATTACGGTGGTATAGGATCATACGCGACGCTGTTCCGACGACGAATTTATTGTACTTGAAATAATTGTTGTTGGTTTTGCGCAATCCTCTTTCGCGAAATTCGTCGGTGAAGCAGGAATAAATCACAAATGGAATTTCGTGCTCGACGAAATTAAAAGATTCAACTCGGACGTATAACATATTTTTAACAACACATTGAGCGATCGTCTCTGCAATGTTTTTTGAATCGCAGAACTCAGTATGAAAGGAAATTGAGGGTTCTGAAATTCTTTCAGCAACTTTCTGTTTAATGTTAAACATACTGTTGCCATAAAAACGATATCTATTTTTAAACAATATTAGGATGAAGATTACAAAATCTAAGTATTACGAAATATTCCAGTCTGTCGCAAAAATGATTCATGAAGTATGATTCTTGTAATTAAATTATTATTTTTGTAATTTGTATAATAGCTAAACTATCAATTTTATGCGTCTGTGACAAAACTTGGTGGAACAAAACACGTCAAAATATTGTGTATGAGATTTGTGTCAATGTTTTAATTTCGTATTTAAAATATTATTACTAAATTATAACAAATTAATTTATAATAATAATTTAAAATATTATCACTAAAATACAATCATCGACAAACTTAGTAGTTGAAATACGAAACAGCAGACGTTTTTAATGAATTTGAAACGTTTTAAGATCATCGAAAAAGAAAAATGATTACTATACAACCCTTGCTTCTTTCAATCGATGCAAAAAGTTTTGAATTTGCATAAATATCTGCAGTCTACAGGAAGCTCGACAATTCAGTATTAATATTATATTTTACTTTTATGAAAGTGTCAATCTGAATCAAAAATCGAATTCTGAGAATTACACACTCTGCTTTTTATTCAATGTAAATGCAGAAGGAAAAGGTGGAATAACTTGGATACAATTATATTTGAAAAATTACTGGGTTACACAATTCTTGAGGAATTGTTCTCCAAGCTTTATTGCAAGTTAACATTGCCCGCGGAGATTTTTCACGATGATCACGAAACTTTTCTTCGGAGTTGTTGCGAAAGTATGATGGATGCTTTCAAACTATTTCGCGAGTGATTTCAACTTGTCCGACCGAAAATGAAGTACATGTCGCCGGCAAATGCTGAGGCTTGAAACGACTTAAAACTTTCACGATTGTAAGATGTTTGTTCCCATTTCGCAGTTTACTTTTCAGTCTTATCATCAACGTTCCCGATATTCTATGCAGAAATTGTTGCACGTCGTCGAGGTTGAATGAAACTGAAAATACGTATATTATTCGAATACAGTAATATTTATTTTCGTTAAATAAAATTCATAGTGAAATGCTGCAAAGGACCTCAGAGATGGAAAAAGTTCTGGAACGTTTTAATAGGTTATATAATACATAACAGGTTATGTATTACAGGTTAGGATTAGACAT